TAATCGGTCGGCATAGACATTCACTTTGAAGGTTTTTTCTGTCTTAATAAAAAACTATACACTTTGTAAAAGAATAATATTCCCTGAAATTCCCTACAAACTGAGCTAGTCGGAATATCTAGACCAACAGAGCCAATTGACAATCAAACGGCAATCCTCTACAAATTACAGTTTGTAGAGGAAGGTTTGCTGGTTCGAATCTATAAAAGAACGGGAAAAAAATCTGTTTTTTTCGTTCTTTTTCAACGTTGTCTTCAAAGATGTGATTGGCTTACGATCTGCAGCTGGTAGACCTGGTCCAATTTTTATTTCTCAAGATCTCTTAAGGTGTTTGCTTTCGCACAGGGAAAACCGCATCTCCTTACCTACTTTCTATCAAAAGTTTTTTTCTTTTTTGAAACGTACAGTATAACGTTTTGAACGCATCAAAAAAATATTCTAAGGGAAAGATGCGTGGTAATGGTAAATTTTTCAATTGACGCGTTCAAAACTTTTGCAAATTTGCTGTTGTGTATATATATAGATATATATAAGATGAATACGGGATATATCGATTCTCATCTAGGCTAAACAGAATGTTCACTCGATTATATTAGATGACCCTTTGGCATACGTGTAAAGCTCAAAGAGTTACTTCAAATTTTCAAAAGTTAAAAATTGTCTTCAATGTCTGGAGTAGAATAATCAATATTATCAATTTTCGATCTATTATTCCAACAAGAGTTTTCCCAAAATTTAGTCAGCATTATGTCACGTTATGTGAGCAAGCCGTAAAATTCCTGTTTTATATGCTCGTTTTTGAAATATTTGATGTTTTAATAGACTTGTTGTGAGATTAAGTCGCCGTATCACTTACCGTTCGTCAAATCACACTTCAATGGATAAAAGTACGTTGAGAAGGACGTTGCGAGCTGAATATGGTTTTTTCTAAGCGAAGTTTGAGACTAACAGTATTTCTATAGAAAAAGATTGTCGAGAGTGAGCTAAAATGACTGGAAGCAGAATCAAGGAGCATAAAATAGTACTGAAACTGGCGAATACTATCAAAACATTAACAACAATAAAGATAAACTGTTCGATGAGTGCCAAAGTAGAAAAGAAATCAGAGCCTAATCGGATCTGATTGTACAAAAAAAACGAACTAGTTACTTTCAAGGTGCTAACAAGAACATACTGCTTCATTCGAAGCAGCGAAAACAGAAAGTAATTTGTCGGCAGAGTTGATGAAAAAAATTGTTTCATTAATAAAAGATAAACAGACTTGTAGTTATCGTACGAGCAATTTTCAAATTTTATTTCTTCTTGATAAAAGAGGAGTAGAAGTTTATACACATGCCAGTCTACAAGTTCCTATATTTAAAGAGTAAGCTATCGCTGAAATTTAAAGATTTTATTTGTTCATGAAACTTCGTTGTGAATCTCATGAGACAGGGCTTTCAAATATCCATTCAAGAACGAATGCGGAGTAGAAATGAACATCAGATTCGTTATCAGCATCAAAGTTGCCCACAATCAACTATGTTTGAAGAAAACGTCGAGAGGCACTGGGACATCTTTTCTTGTAAGTGTAATGTTCAATAGCGACTTGATCTTTCACTCAACACTGCTGTACAAAGTTGCTCTGCGTCGTATTTCTAGTATACTTCGAATCAATTTTATTATTCTCAGACATGGCATGAATTTGGAACGTACTGGATTTGATTCTTGATAATATTTATCTGTAGCAAATATAAATTTTGTTATTAAATAACCAGCAGTGGATAATACTAATACATGGTCTACTAAATATGGAAAATTACCATTCCAAAATTCATCAAATAGTACATCGATAGGAATTAAAATACTTAATTCTTCCTCTTTTTCTGTTTGTTCGGATTTTTTCAATGTTATAGAGCATTGAATGGGTCTATTATATTCATCATACGGATAATCAATTTGCTTTGAATGTTTTATATTTGTTTGTAAAGTTTCACTAAAACAATTTTGTTTTAAATAGCCTAATGTATCATCATAAATAAATTGTTCACAAAACTTAATACCATATTTCACAAACATATGTCGTTTTTCAATTACAAATTCTTTCATTGAATCATTTTCAAATATTAAATATTTTATAATTGGCCATCGTCGTTGAACATTGTTAACAAATGTAACTAAACAATCAATTATTTCTTGAATATTTATATTACTGAGATCAATTATATCAGATTGATTTTCAGTACTTTTATTAAACAAAATAGTTGATAAATGAATCCACCAATTTCGATCGTTTCTTTCTATTATTAATAAAAATAATCGATATAAGCGTTTTAAATATGAATTATATTTTTCTGGTATATAAAACGGACATTGGACATCAAAATGATTTAATTCTAATTCATGAAACTCCTCAACTATATTCGACGTAAAATGTATAAAATCTCTTTTTGGTATGTAAGGTTTATAGTTTGTCTTCAAATGATGTTTTACATCAATATTGTTTAATGCATCTAGGCTTCGCGTTATTGTTGAAGAATTGTATGACGACAAGAGATTAATTTGTTCAATAAAGTAATGTTGACATAATTTTGTTTCTAATCTTTCACGAAAAAAATTTATAAAACGTTTAAATAAATCTCTTGAAATTTCTTGTTCATCGTTTACATTTTTATAATCATTTTTAAGATCGTACATTTCACACATCCAAAGAACACACGTTTTTACAACATAAGATGATATACACTCTTCAATATTGTTTGTCCCTTCTCCTGATCCACAGGAAGAATCTACAAAAAAGATTAACATACGAATATCTTAAAGATTGAGGAATCACCGACTATTCCGCGAACTGTTTGCTGTGTTTCGTTATAGGGTTGTGCATTTGTTTTCAGAGAAGTTTCTTGGCATGTTCGAAGTCTCGGCTTCCTTTTTAGTAAGCGCAAAAGGCTATATCCTTGTATACATCCTTCCTCGTTCATGAGAAAGAATGAACGAGTCGAAAATGTTTTTACAACCAATCATTTAAAGAAATTGGTATAACTCACGCTCACTATCACACCACAAACAGTTCGCGGAAGAGTCAGGGTTCTGTTCGCGGAATAGTCGTGTCACGCTCAAATCTGTTGCTAATACATTCGAACAGTCAGTCCATGATGCATCGCGAATTGAACGGTATAATAAACAGTATTATTAGGAACAACTTTAGTTCAGGAATCTGAAAACAGCAGCTGTAATACAGTAGTAACAAAATACCGACCAAATACACTGCAAAATAGTGACTTCGCTCAAATTTTTATTTCTTAACAGTTCCTTGATCTCTAACGAAATTTTTGACCAGATGTGATCGTGGAAACAATGGCTTGAAAGAATATAAATAGTGGAGATCTCCTTGGCTTCATTAATATGTATTAATGGAGCTGAAACACAAGTAAGCGATATTAACTTTTTCTTGGCTGATTTGCCGAAAGCCGAAAGATGGACCTCTAAGTAAAAGAATACATTTTCAAATCTTAGATAGAAAATCATGTTGAGCACATAAAGTGGAATGCATCTTCATGGTCTGGATCAATTTTGACTGACTTATGAATAAGAAAATAAGAAAAAGGGGTTTTGCTACTAATATGGTTTTTCACCAGATTCTAGGAACGTTTTAGGAAAACAAACATTTTCATAAGATTTAGAAGGGTCAATTTGATCACGAAATCGAGACGAATGTTATGCACACTAATCACTTTCTTCTCCTACTACTTGCCGTTTTGAATATTTTAGATTTAAACAATCTTAGTATAATTGAAATCGAAACTAAACAAATTACCTTGTTTTTTTATATATCTGTAATAGATACGACGTGCAATATTATTTAATTTTTTTTCTATATCATAACGTGATCGCGCTAATATTGATTCAAAAACGGAGAAGGATAAGCGAAATTCATACGGTGCTGCTTCTGAGTCAGTAGATTTTGACCATTTCGGTATTGCGTAAACTGTGGCATTTTTTATTTTATTATAAATATGACTTTTATTATATTTTAAGTAATTCATTCGCGTTTGAATAATTTGTGGCCAAAATTTAAGTTTAATGCCAATAACAATGTCACAATCTTCAGTCAAAATACGTTTATTATACATTTCAAATATTTCAAATTGACTTTCAAGTGCATTTTCATCAACTAAATGACGATATTGTTCATAGAAATTTAATATAAGACGAAGTTTATGGGTAAGATTTGACGGCATTGGAATACCGGCTAATGATAAATACAGAGTCTTATATAAATGTATCAACTGTTTTATTTTCGTATGATATTTGTTAATATGTTGGTTTGATAAATCAATATGAAATAATTCTTTTGATAATTTACATAAAAAATATTTTGTCTCTTTATCAAATACATCTAATATATATAAGGAAAATTGTTCAATATTTCGTCGACCAATTTGTTGTTGTTCATTTGTTATATTCTGACGAAATAATTCTATTTTTTCAAGAATATTACAATCAATAGGCGGATTAGGATCAGAAAATTGAAAGAAAATATTTGCTTTATCAATAGATGTTGACGATGATGAAATTGAACGTAAATTTTGTTCTTTCATGATTGAATGAATTTGTTGTTTTAGTTGATATCCATCAATAAATGTTTGATTATTGAGTGAACCTGTTGGTAGATGACTTTCATAACTATTATTATCATAAAATATTCGAATGTAACCTGGTGCTTCTGCTACATATTCTATACCATTTTCATCACTAATTTCGATTTTACTTATATATATGATATCATATTCATAGCTCAAACCATCATCAGCCACTTCTTTAGCTGCTGATTGTCCATCACTCATACTACCGGATAACAGTAGAGGAAAGTTTTCAGGATCATCATCTTTATTCAATAAACTACCCATTTTTTAAGCGAAAAACACAGAAACAAAATGCACATATATAACATATACTCATTTATGACTAAATTTTTGTTGCTTTTCTCTGGTAGTGCAATGTACGCAAAGCAACATATGCATGTGTAGAAGTATAATACACATGTATATTTACAATAAAGTTAAATTTGTCTGTTTACTTTTTCGTTTCTTTCTTTTAACAATAAAAAAGAAATTGTCCGCCAAGGAGTTTCTTTCACATTTGTACTTCATTCAACTGTCAGAATTGGAAGCAGATAGGTAATACGATCAAACTAATTTATAGACTCTAACTCGGTCCTACTTTAACTTAGAAACGTGGAAAATATCTCATATAGCAGAGAAATAAACGTTCTGTCCAATCGTATGCTAAAAAAGCTTGTTGATGTACTTCGATGTTGTTAGGTTTTCTGGAAAACTCGAGATATCAAAGACCTATATCTCAGAAATCGGAGATAAGGTATTGGGATCTCAGTTGATCCATATGTTTCAAAACATGGAGATTCCGAAAATGTGGATTGAACTAAACAAAAATAGGAAAAATGCAGTTAAAAGTAGCTCGGGGGACTATCAAAAATCAAATAAGTGTCGTAATAGTTGTGAAAGATGGCTCTCAGCAGACTTACGGGAGCGATGTGGACAATTAAAAACTACATTTCTAGATAGAACAAACGACGAGGAATCTAATACACATATTACTTTTGATTTCGATTTGAGGGCGAAAAACGCGTTGCAGTACGACGAATTTTCATGATTTTCACCATCTTATAGCAAGTACAGTAGAGCAATGAAACATTTTGAAATGTTTCTAAATGAGCCATTTTATCAAGGGGGAAAAAGCGCACTCCGCCACTCTGTGGAGTGCCGGAGTGCCCGGAGTGGCTTGGAGTGGCTCGGAGTGGCTCGGAGTGGCTTGGAGTGACTCAGAGTACCGCAGGCTTCAGAAATTTTATTGAACTGAACTGTTCCAGAAATCTCTGTTCCTACAAGCAGAACAAAGATGTTCTGTCTGTGGGAAAAGAATTCACAGAACAGAACACAATTGTCCCGTTATCTGGGAAATTTCCCCAAGGAAAGTACCGGATTGTTCTGTTCTGGGAACATAACATAACTGTTCTGTTTCGGGAATCGGATTGTTCCGTTTTGGGGAAAGAATATTGAGAGAAATATCAGTATTTTATTTTAAAAGAAAACAACGCACTTCGCCACTCCGGATCATTGTACGGAGTGTCGGAGTGCTATGGAGTATGATGGAGTGCGACGGAGTATGATGGTCAGTTTACATTTGTACGTGCATCAAGTAGACGAACAGTTCTTTGTAAGATGCCAGTAATGCAAACTTCGAGCAAAATGTTTTCTTATTCAGCATCGAAGACTGAATAGAAAAAAGATGTTTGATCAGTTCCGAAATTAAAAGCTTGTCCAATATAGACGCTGCTGTCTGACGGTATTTGTGCGATTGTACAATTTGGTAAACCTATCTAGTTTTTCGTGTGAGTTATTGGAACATTTATTTAAACCTCATTAGATTACCTGAGAGACCAGCTTTAGACGTATGCTTTGCTTTTCTAAAATTTTGTTTTGCTGCTAAAAAAATTCGTTTTTTCTAAATCAGAGGTAAAAACGTGGGAATTCTGTCCGTAAGTCTGAATTTTCTCTATCAGAACTCAACTTCTATGTAATAAGAATATCATATTCGAAATCGGGATCAAAAAACGAATCGACTGATGCGCAATATCGAAAATTTTAGTTGATTTTCATTTTTTGGTGAAAACCTCGATGATTTTACTACGTGAAGATTCGAAAACAGTTATAGTATTCGTATAGGATAGAGATATGCATCAGTCGAGTCGTTTTTGATCCTGATTTCACATATGATATTTTTATACCACAGAAGTTGAGTTTTGAAAAAGAAAAGCGTGATCTAATTTGAAAAACCTCTTACTTCCCTATATCTCCTGTGAACTACAGTTTGACTACGTAGGATATCATCGGTCAGGATTAGAGTATATCTTGAATGGATTCGCCCACAGTCCGGTTCCAATTTAGTTTTTCCTGACCCCAAGTAGAAATCGACGAGCTCTATCGCTGCAGTTGTCGCTTTTCAAAATTGATCATACCATCAAGGAGAAAACCGCTAATTACTCTCAAAAACGACCAAAAAGTTCAAAAAACTCGAAAGAACGCTCGCGATTCGCTTCTCTGCTGGCTCCAGCTCTATCTTTGATGGCTCCAGATAGAATTTTTGTCACAGTTGAAAAGTGAGATATGCAATCGATAGAGCATGAAAAGTTCTAGCTGGAGCCATCAAAGGTAGAGTTGGAACCAGCAAACGAATTGGCACTGGTTTTTCGAGTTTTTTGGACGTTTTCGTCGTTTTTGAGAGTAATTAGCGGTTTTCTCCTTTGATCGCTGATGTCAGCCTGTTTTTCTCGCTTGCTTCTTTCGTTTACAGTCTATATTTTGCTATTGGTTGCTCAATACTCGTGGAAGAGGAGTTTTTATGTTTAATTCACTCAACTGCATTTCAAAAGCCTAAATTTACACTAAAGATCTTTTCTAATAGAATAAACCTATTGCTGTAATCAGAGGGCAAACACTACTCGCACTTCCGAGATCGATGATGGTGGGCGGTCTTCTATAGAAACGCACATGAATAATGGCGAAAAAAATTGTCAAAAAAAAATAAAAAGATTCGAGTGGGAAGCGAACCCGTGATGATGAAAAGAATATTCATCATACTCTGCTCTATCCTATTAACCCATCGAATCTATTCGATTGACTTTAGTCTAGGATCTTACAAAATGATTGTCTGTCTGTGTGTGTGCGCAAGATGCGGAAAAATGGCTGTCAGATACTCTATCGATAAGCGAATCACAAGGAATTGGGGAAATTTCTTCGAAAGCGATACTCTCGAAAATGATTTCCTCGAATGCAGTTTCCTCGAACAGAATTTTCTCGAATGGAAGCCTCCTCGAATTTTCCAAAAGAAAAATTATCAATATTATTTGCAGTATATAGAACAAGAGAAACATTATAGATGAACACAAAAAATTACTTTAGCTACAGATATATACCAATAAAATACCTGAACCTATCTCAGTTATTAATCAATGAAACTGCTTTATCTGAAACAAATTTATAAATAAAAACTATGAGCTATAGCAGCTATTTGTTGTTCTGTATTGGAATGAGGATATTTAATTAGATTTATTAAACGTTTATTATGATCTGCATAACGTTTCTGTTGAATTTTTGCTTCTTGGCCGGCATTTACAGCTGCCAAATCCAATTGAAACGAGCTTTCTTCTGTTTTTAATTTTTCTAGAAATTCCAATGTAGGATGTTCACATTGAAACGATTTGTGTAATTTATTATGCCACCCTTCGACATGATTATTGCCTAGAAGCATTGATCTGTACGGCTGTGCATATTCCATAAGTCAACAGCAAATTTCGGATTTGCTCTAACACCGCTAGCACGCAAGCGTCCAATATACGTGTCTTCGAAATAATTCAAAAAATCTTGTAAATCTAATGTTTAGTGGCGGCGCCAGGATTTTTCGGGTGCCTGGGCTCAGCCCATAATTTTTCAAAAATCCGTTCAGAATTTTTACGTGACTATTGCTAGTGAGTACTCTGTTTTCAAATTTTTGGGTGGTTGGGCTCAGCTCACCCTAGCCCTGCCCTGGCGCCGGCACTACGAATGTTACGTCTTTAGACAATAAAAGAAACCCTGGTGTGACATCTTGTACTGATAAACAAGCTAATGCAGCTACACAAATGCAATCGTAAGCAAATAATGGATCTGCATCGTATTGAATCTTCCATCTAAGTGTCTAAATGGAATCAATCTCATATAGAAAACAGTTCAGTTAAGAAAATTCTTGAACTTACCTGAACTTGTCGATAAAGAAGTAACTGACATCGGTAAAACATTCATTTGTTTAACGACCCGTCAATTATTATTAACATGTCAATATTCAACAGTTTTAGCCATCGATTGTACGTACAAATAACAACAAACGAATTACCACTTATGGTCTTTGGTACCAGTGATCTACATCGTCGTTTTCGTCCAATTGGTGTATGCTTGATTTCAACCGATGAATCTGCCGAAACGTTAAAAACATTATTTCGTGGTATTCAAGTTAGTATGAAACTGGAAGTAGTCACAAATAACATAATAATAATTTCTGTGTAACCAGCTGCTCGTCTGGTGATTAACAAATGGTCTGCTGATCAAGAATTAAATGATTTCAAAGATTATTTTGAACGTGAATGACTACTGAAATTGCCATTTTGGTACGAAGGACTAGCTATGTTAGCACCATCAACGAACAATGGGCTGGAATCTAGGAACGGTAAAATTAAACAGAATTATACAATGAGGCAGAAAATGCCTATTTCTGCTTTTTTACAGACAGCAGAACGTATGCTGAACGATTGGTCATCGAATAATGCAAAAATACCATTTGCTACAAGCATTACGTACAATAATGATTTAGATTTGAAAGCATTTGAATGGTTACAAAAGATTGATAAATCTCAAATTGCACAACTGAATCCATGCACTTTCGTTGTGCCATCAGATGATCCAAAAATAAATGTATCCACATGGGTTCAGCAATTAAATTCAGCAGACTGGCAATCATTTGATGAATTCGTTCGCTGGTCATCAGCAGCCCGTTTACTCAATTACTCACGTTTTTTACCACCATGGTTTTGTGCGTGTAGATATGGTCTCAACGAATACTTATGTATACATGCAATTGGTTTAATGATGATGTGGGGTACAAGACCTGTCCTACAACTTATTGGTAAACGTAGAGGAAGAGGACGTTCCCAAAAAATAAAATTAGCATTACAACAAGACTAGAAACTGAGTTTGTTCTCTTTTTTTCGTTTTTTGCCATATTCTTGTAAGAGTTGCAACAAGTTTCGCATTGACGAATCGTTTTGCCAAAGGCTGCACTGTTTGGGAGCCATAATATACGCGGGTGTGATAGCCCAGGTCAAACAGAACGGTCCGTTAACGGCGTGTAAACGGCCCATTAACGGTCATCATAAAAACGGCCCGTTAACGGTGTAAAAACGGTATAAAAATACGCCGTTTACGATCAGCGTTAATGTACCGTTTTTACACCGTTTTGAACTAAAACTGATTAAAGGAATAAAAACATGCTTAAAGAATTTCAAGTGTGATGAAAATGCTAAACGCGTACTAAAGAGAAATTGTATCGATCAAACCTGCGAAAAATGAATAGTTTTTTAAATACAATTTTCAGATTCTCCATCCAAAGTTACCTACAAATCCAAGCTTTTAGTCTTGGAAAACTTTTGCTTGTTGAGAAAGAAATCTTTTTGAAAAAAGTTCCAATAAATTTTCTTCTAAAGCTGAAGAATTGCGTATTTCTTGTTTTTTTAATTTTAGCGATACTATCATGCATTTCATTGTCTTAAATTATACATCATTGGAACGAGCTCAAAACACTCAACAAAACCTGATATTGTTTAAGTTTTAAATAAATTTTTCGTTGCCGAAAAAAGTTAAACCAAGTATCCTTAAAAAAAAAGAAGCTAATTTTTCCAATAAAACGATTGTTATGACCACAAATTCCTTTGACCTAGAGCAATTTTTAGCACATCCTGTATAGACAATGAAATCTTCTACAAAATGCACTATAGTACATTGAAATACAAC